CCCTTCGTCGTTCTCTATTATCTCTCTCTGTCCATCTGTCTATCTACCAATTCAGATATAAGTGCTATCTCTGGATCACTCTGTGTGTGTGTGTGTTTTCTTCTGTTTCTCTCCCTTTCAACAATTTCTCTCTTCCTCCAGTTCTCTCTCTATATCTATCTGTCTATCTATCTATCTCCATCTCTATCTATCTATCTATCTATCTATCTGTCTATCTGCATCTCTATCTATCTATCTATCTATCTATCTATCTATCTTTATATCTATCTATCTATCTGTCTATCTATCTATATGTCTATATATATATATATATATATATATATATATATATATATATATATATATATATATATATATATATATATATATATATATATATATATATATCAGTCTCTCTATCTCTCTATCTCTCTATCTCTCTGTCTCTCTATCTCTCTATCTTCCCTCCCTCCCTCCCTTTTCCCCTCCCTCTCATCCTCCCCTTCATCCTTCCCCTCTTCCTCTCTCTTTCCTTCCCTTCCTCCCTTCCTCCCTCTCATCCTCCCCCTCATCCTTCCCCTCTTCCTCCCTCTCTCCTTCCCTTCCTCCCTTCCTTCCTCCCTTCCTCCATCCCTTCCTCCCTCTCTTCTTCCCCTCCCTCCCTCCCTTCCCTCCCACTCTTTCTCCCGAGGAAAAATGTTTAGAAAAAGATCATCTGAGCGAAGACAAGAGAGGGACAGATAACGCAATACCCCACAGGCATAAACAGATCTTCCTGTTCAGCCGAGGAGGGACCGTATTTCAGCCTCCATCCCTCTCTCTTCCCTCCCTTCTCTCCTCCCTCCTTCCTTATTCTTTCTCTTTCTTCCCTTCTCTCTCTATCCCACCCTTCGTCCCTCCCTCCCTATTCTTTCTCTTTCTTCCCTTCTCACTCGTTCCCCTCTTCTCTCTCTTCTCTCTTTTCCCTCCCTATTTATCCTTTCTCTTTCTTCCTCTATCTTCCTCTCTTCCCTCGCTTCCTCCCTCCTTGTATTTTCTCTTTCTTCCCCTCTGCTCTCACTTCCCTTACTCCGTCCTTCCCTCCTTATCCTTTCTCTTTCTTCCCCTCTCCTCTCTCTTCCCTCCCTTCCTCCCTATCTATCCTTTCCCTTTCTCCCCCTATTCTCTCTCTTCCCTCCCTTCGTCCTTCCCTCTTTATCCTTTCTCTTTCTTCCCTTCTCCTCTCTCTTCCCTCCCTCCTTCCCTAAATATCCCCCTCCCCCGTTTTCATTCCCTCTCCTCTCATTGTGTATGTTCTTTCCTTTGTCCTTTTTCCCTTTTCGTTTTTCCTTCACTGCCCATTCTCTTCCTTTCATCTTTTTCCTTCTCTTTTCCCTTTCCTTTTCTTTTCTTTCGCCTCTCTCTTCCCTATTCCTAATTCATCCCTTTTTTCCCCGTTCATCCGTCATCACTTTTTTCTTCTTTTCTCTTTTCCTCTTCTCTCTTAACGCCTCTTCCCTCTTTCCATCCTTTTCTCTTTTTCTTCCTTCTCCTTTCTTCTTTTCTATCCTTCTTCCATCCTTCTCTCTCTTCACACTCCCTTTCCTCTTTCCTCTCTTTATCTTTTTCCTCCCTTTCCTCCCCTTTCTTACCCTCCCTCTACCCTCTTCCTCTTCCTCTTTTCCCCTCCCTTCCCATCTCATCCCCCTTTCCTCCCTCTATCCTCCCCTCCCTTTCCCTCCCTCTATCCTTCCCCTGTCCTTTCCTTCCCCCTTCCCCTCCCTTCCCCTCCCATCCCACTCCATCGCCCCTTCCCCCCCTCTATCCTCCCCTCCCTTCCCCTCCCTCTCCCTCCCTTCCCTCCCATCCCACTCCATCGCCCCTTCCCTCCCTCTATCCTCCCCTCCCTTCCCCTTCCTCTCCCTCCCTTCCCTCTCTCTCTCCCTCCCTTCCCTCTCCCTCTCCCTCCCTTCCCTCTCTCTCTCCCTTTACCCTCATCCCTAAGAAATATTTACACCAAGTAATGACTTTCGGAAGGGACTGGCACTCAAACTCACACACGCACGCACTGGCACACACTGGCCCTCTCTCCCTGGCACTCACTCCCTTAGGGCGGCTTTAATTAAGATAACGTCACACCCAACCAAATGCCGCTCTCTTTGACAGCCTCTCTCTCTTTCTTTCTCTCTTTCTCTCTCTCTCTCTCTCTCTCTCTCTCTCTCTCTCTCTCTCTCTCTCTCTCTCTCTCTCTCTCTCTCTCTCTCTCTCTCTCTCTCTCTCTGTCTGTGTCTCTGTCTCTGTCTCTGTCTCTCTCTCTCTCATCTCTTCTCTCTCTCTCGCTCTCTTCCTTTCTCGCCTCTCTCTCTCTCTCTCTCTCTCTCTCTCTCTGTCTCTCTCTCTCTCTCATCTCTTCTCTCTCTCTCTCTCGCTCTCTTCCTCTCTCTCTCTCTCTCTCTCTCTCTCTCTCTCTCTCTCTCTCTCTCTCTCTCTCTCTCTCTCTCTCTCTCTCTCTCTCCTTCTTCCCCTCTTTTCTAATCCTCCT